TACCCATGGAATAACCTTCACAATCAATCACTTGTACCCAAATTGTACATTATGCTCGGAATCATAGTTTAAATAATGCATGTAACTTTAAAATGCAAGTTTAGTGAATCATTTGCTCGAAAAGCTTTAGTTGAATCTCTTTACGCTTTTGACTTATATAAAAATTATGGTTTGTCTTGCTAATTTTGTCGATGGTTGATCAATTCTCTTCAACTTTGACTTATGTGAATTAACTTATGACAAATACGGCAAACAATAATTTTGTAATTTCAAATAATCAAAATAATTATAGTGATTAGAGTTATTATTGATGGTCATACTATTAGAAAGATTATTTCCCACTTTATGTATAGATTAGTGAGAGTCAAACATGAATTCTGGTACTACAAAAACAACTTTCCACTTCCCTGAACCATACTCGATATGAATGCACACTAAACTGCAAAGTGCATGTAATAGAGACTGATTAATATATGTACTTGTGTTCAAGGTTTAAAGATTGAATTGAATCATTGTTTTGCTAACTTGATGATTCTATGGAGAGAATATTTTTATTCATTGGTATGAACAATTTTATTTTGTGTAAAATCAATTTATCTTTGTACCTTACTATCTTCAATTTCTAAAATGGTTTGTTTTGTTGTAACATCCTACAATTAAATATTCGTAGTCTCATGAGTATACTTTTCATGTAGATTTATAAGACATATATAGACGGAGTATAGACTCAATTCTCAATCAAAATACTCAACCATCAATCACTATTTTGATCGTTCAATTATCTAATCTTGACATCTCCAATATGGAGGTTTGTAAACTCTCGATGTAAGACATTATGCCTCGATTTATCAAACATAATAGTTAAGTTCATTATCTTATAAAATATGCCTTAACTCATGATTCTCAAAATTAGGAGTGACTCTCAACCAACTTTTATTGATTATTGACTTAGTCTATCATAGGATTCTTAGCAAAGATGTCTGATCTCTGGATAATTTTTGTTTATCTGAATTCATGGCAATTGACACATCCATGGTTCTTTCCTTGACATGAAATTTTATCTATCGATTCCGAATTATAGCACACACTCTGAAAAATTATATATTCTTGGTAAATATTATATATTAGTAATTAATAGAATATGTTTATGATATATAGCGGGCATATGAAAAGTTGTAGCAGTTGAACAGTAGATTGATTACTTTAAACCAATGTGTTAGAAATCATACTATATACCTGAAGGTCGGACCGAAAATACTGAACCCCAAATATTAAGCAATTTTAGTCGTACAAAATACCTTATCACTAATTTTTACGGTTAACTTCTGATACCGTCTCACAATCATTGCTTCAAACAAAATCATCTGTAAACTAATATACAAACTCTTGGAAACATTGTAATATTTAATATGTTGTATAAACCCAAAAATGAAAGAAGAGTCCTTCTTGAAAACATATTCTACTAATAAATTTTGGAATATATTCGACTATTAATATTAAATGAAAGATGGGTCATTCCAAGAAACATAAACCTAATCTCAATAGAGTTCTTATTTTATTAGGATAATCTAGGGGATGCTGGCGGATTTTTTTTAAATAGTTCTTCTATCAATTTTTTTACTTTTAGTATGCCAAAATTACCCTTCCTACAATCACTCAGAGAGCTGGAAATTTTGAATGAAAGATATTCTATGGAGAACCTCCATATAGTATTGGTATGATGAAGTTCTCTACATCATAACAAGCGAGTTCATTCATCACTTACAATCCCACAAGTCCACAACCTCAATTAAGATAGATCCTATTAAGCAAAGACTACTAGAATAAAATAAAATAACAAATCATTAGAGGGTAGGATATGAGGATTAAACAATAACTAAATCATAGTTCACATCATATTATGCTCTCCATTTATAAATATTCTTTTCATGATTGAAGTTTTTAACATCTCTACGAGAAAAAAAAAATTGAACCCAAAATCTTTTGATCTTTGAGTCGATTATATAAATATTTTTTACTTCCTCAAGCCAAACTGAAGCCTCATGTAATTGAACGAAATTTATTTGGGGGCCCATGCCGGTTAATTGGGCCAGGATAAGCCCAAAAAGGAATAAAACAGAAACGTCGTCTTTCAGCTCGTGGAGCGTAAATGGCGCGGCAAACCCAGCTCGTGCTGGGCTATGATCTCTAGGGTTTCTTTTGAAATTTCCCCACCAAAATTCCAAAACCCTGATTCCTTCTTCCCCTTAACCAGCTTCCCCCGCCCAGATTCAGCTTCACCATCCATCCATCCATGGCTGCCATGCAGAGGAAGAAGAAGCCGAAGAACCAATCTGCGGAAGCTCAATTCAACTACAACCTCAACTCTCACTCCAAATCCAAAGACCTCCGCTCGGCCCTCTCCCTCTACGACTCCTCCGCCGCCGGAGAAACCGCCGTCCGTCTCAGCCAGCACCACTTCAATACTCTGCTCTACCTCTGCTCCATCTCCCTAGCCGACCCATCGGTCAAAGACCTCGCCTTGGAGCATGGGTTCCGCATATACGATCACATGGTCGCCTCCGGGATTAAACCCAACGAGGCCTCCATAACCTCCGTCGCTCGCCTCGCCGCCGCGAAAGGGGACGGTGGCTACGCTTTCGATTTGGTGAAAAACTTGATCGCCGAGAAGTCATTGCCCAGGCTGCGGACTTACGACCCGGCGCTGTTCTGCTTCTGCGAGAAGTTGGAGGCGGACAGGGCGTTTGAAGTCGAGGAGCACATGGGAAGCAACGGTGTTGTTCTGGAGGAAGCGGAGCTCGCTGCATTGCTTAAGGTGAGTTCCGAGACTGGTAAACAACAGAAAGTTTACGAGTATTTGCAGAAATTGAGGAAGGCCGTGAGGTGTGTGAGGCAGGAGACTGCTGATGTGATTAGGGATTGGTTCGATCGGTTTGATTGCGATGGGGTGGAATTAGATGTGGGTTTGATTAGAGATGCCATTGCTAGGAATGGTGGGGGATGGCATGGCTTGGGATGGACTGGTGAAGGGAAGTGGGCTGTTGAGAGAGGGAGAGTTGGTGTTGATGGCAAGTGTTTATGTTGTGGGGAGCAATTGGCTTGTGCTGATATTGCTGAAGAAGAAATCGAGATCTTTGCTCGATCAATAACAGGTTTGGCTCTGGATAGGGAGGTCAAGGCCAATTTCAGTGAGTTTCAGGTCAGTTATCATTTGAATTGATGATGGATAATGGATTACTGTCGAAAACTGAATCAGAATTGGACATGGTTAAGTTTCTTGAAGTTTACGTCTCTTTTGGGATGTTTGTATGTATATTTAACAGGATTGGCTGGAGAAGAATGGCCATTATGAAGCTATAATAGATGCAGCAAATGTGGGCCTCTACCAGCAGAATTTTTCAGAAGGGGGATTCAGCATCTTTCAGGTTGTGAAATTTAGACATGGAAGTTATGTTCTGTCCTTCCTTTTAAAGATTGAATAGACTGCTAATTTCCGCTGGTTATTGTGCTTTTCTTTGTATTGATATAGAGCAGCTGGATGCTGTAGTGAAAGAGCTGTACAATAGAAATGGGAAGAAATGGCCACTGATAGTCTTGCACAACAAGCGTGTTCGAGCTCTCCTAGAAAATGCTTCCAATAGAAAGTTCATTGAAGAGTGGAAGGAGAACGGCGCTCTTTATACAACACCACACGGTTCTAATGATGATTGGTAATATTAATGGATACACGACTATTTCCATTATGTTGATCATGTTTCTATTGAAGTGCTTTCTGTATGTAAAGCTTCTGAATTTGTGATGGATTGTGGTTTTGCTGGCAATGGGAGGTTTTTCAGTGACTTATCCCTTCCTCTGGGTTTTAGGTACTGGCTTTATGCTGCAGTCAAACTCAGGTGCTTGCTAGTGACTAATGATGAAATGCGAGATCACATTTTTGAGCTCCTAGGAAGCAGCTTCTTTATCAAGTGGAAAGAAAGGCATCAAGTACGTGTTATCTTTTGGCCTGATTTGCAAGCAATGCGTTTCTTTTGATCGCCGAATCCCTAGTTATAAACATAATCAAACACTTGCATTGAAGAACATTTTACTAAGTAATAGTCATTGGGTAGTGGTCATAATCAACCACTTGGATCTACAGCTTCCAAGATTGTCTGTTGTTCATTGGTTGAGGATTTGCTGCAGGTAAAATGGTCTTTGCTGTGTTATTGACTTCTCGTCTATATCATTTGCAGGTAAAGTACACTTTTGCGAAGGGTACCTTAAAACTTCAGATGCCGGCTCCTTTTTCTGTGGTCATCCAGGTAATGTCCCCGGTGCTGCTGTAATGTCAAACTTTAGATACATATGTTGGTTACTAGGAGAACTTATTACCATGGCAGTTTAATGAATCGAACCCAACCAAATTGTATTCTCTTCTCTCTCTGATTTCCAGGAATCAGAAAAAGGATCATGGCATGTACCTATAGCAGGCAGTGACACCGAAGAGTCTGCACAAACTTGGCTCTGCATCACAAGGACAAGTTCTGCAGATAAAACTCCCAAGGAATCCATGACCATGGAAGCTTCTGAAAACGGCCATGAGAACTGCTGCAAGAGCCATCATGCCTCCGACATTAGTGACAGTAAAACCACAGCCATTACAGGGAAAAGGAAGGAGAGGTCTCCATCTCATTCTTAGCTGGGATCATTGTAATAAACAAGTTCCACATGTGGCAATTTGGAGCTTTTTAAGCTGCTATTCTCTTTGGTAGCCTATGTTTTCCTGACTGCCTGCAATTTGGTGCTTAACCCGTCCGCAGTCTCTTTGTTGTACTATACATGAGAGATCAAATCATGCCCTCGTTTCAGGCAGAATTGGTGTCGAGAATCAGTTTTTTTTTCTTTATCAGTTTTCATATGTTATTCTAGTTCAGCTTTTTTATTCAGAACTCGTGGGGACCTCCTGTCCTTGTACTATGTCAATTTTTTCGTCGGACAAAATTGACACGTTTAATAGCGAATTTGGACTAGAATTCAAAAGATCTAAAATATAAATACGATATAATCTTCACGAACACATTAAAAACATGTTTACTGCATGAATAAATCGCAGGGCCGATATACAGAGAAATCAAAGTGACACCAACACAATAACGTGATTACACTTTTTCTAGTCTTGTCCGAGAATCAATCAAATCCAAACTCCTGCTCCCCTAACAATAAATCATGTAACGTGAACAACAAACATATACTAACACTCCCTTTTCCTTGTAAATCCAGAGATCAGCCACCACCAATTTGCCGCCATTAAAATGGAAAAATGTGAAAAATATACCATATATTTCATTTCATATGTATCATCATCATCATCATTATTACGTATGTCTTTGTCTCATAAACCCTAATGACACCTCCTCTTCCCTCTCTGCAAAGCCTTTTATTTGACAACATATTTCACCAGCCCAGGGATGTGAATGTTGACGAAGTAATCCTCCCAATCAACCTCGGCCGGGTCGAAGTAGAACTTGTCTGTCTCCACTCCATTGTCCTTCGCCGCCATCCTCAGCTTCTCCGTGTTGATGTCGTCAAACCTGTCGCGAAAAAGACAAAATAAAATAAAATCCACATCACATATTTCGTTCTCAAATAACTGTCGCACGTAAGAAACAAAGATAAAGTTCACGGAGTATTGTATCTTACACTCCATTGAAGAAGAGGTACGGCTGGTAGAGCTCCACGAGCCGCATCACGAACTTGATCCTACGGTTGAGATCGCTGTAGACTCCGTCGAAGAAGTGACAGAAGGCCGTGTTCGCCAGCTCCAGCCCCTATACATAAACAACATTTCGTCAACGAGTTCCAACACTTTAACCACTGAAATCGTGTTGTTGGCTAGCTTAAGTGAAATGTCAAAAAAAAAATTTTGTTTGCTTATTACCTTCAAGACGAGCAAGTAACGGAAGGCCATGTAACGGCGGAAGCTGTCCATGCTACCAAGGACTCTGACCTTACGAACCCTGACCACGTTGCCTTGTTTGTCGACCCACGGCTTCTGAGAGAAATACCCGAACCCATATTCCTTGAGATCCCCGAGCTTCATCGGGTTGCGAATCGACGAACCCACTTGGTAGATGACCGGTTCGGATCTGGGCTGGTTCGAGTGGGCCACGATGGCCATCAGCATCGCATTCACCACCATGTCTGCTGGTATCTGCATCAATATTATGGAAAAAGAGTACACATTCAAGCTCTGGATTAACATAATTAAAGATCCAAGGACCATTTTGCAAGTTATGGTCCTGGTTCAGGGAGCGAATTGAAATCTTACCACGTCGAGAATGCCTGCAACGTCTCCAAGGAAGCAAGTGAGGCGTCCTTTGCCATAGCCGACAGCCAAGCTGTCGATTGTTCTGTAACCAAAAACCATGGTGAGGACCAAATTGGACTTGTGGTAAAAGGAGGGACCAAATTGGGATTTGTTATAAATTTACTTGTTGGTACCTGATGCCTTCAACCCAGCCAGGGAAAGGCTGTTTGAAAGTGCTGGTGACGATGGTGGGACGTACGATGACGACGGACATGTTGCTGCCTTTGAATTCTCCAACCAGCATCTCCCCCATTGCCTTGGTGAACACGTATGTGTTTGGCCATCCGTAGGTTTTTGCCCTGTTAATTGTTTCCCGGGAAAGAAAACAGAGAATATACAAAGCGTAAGACAATTGTGTGCAAGAATCAACCTTGAAATAATCATTAGGATAGAATCCAAGTGTAGGTCCAATTACAGATTGATTAGAAAGGGAAGAAATGCAGGAAAAAAAATCAAGTGATGACACATGCGTCGGTGGAAAATGTATGCAACAGTTGCATCTACCATGTGTGTGTGTATTGTGCAAGTTTATTAGGTGACCAATAGCTTAGGGTAGATAATTATGACATTGACCCGACTTAAAAAGTAACGAGTTGGGTATGTTGTAATAAGTTTAGTCGCAAACCAGTTCTGATATCATTGCCATAAACTTAATCGATTCTAAAAAAATTATATACGAATGTTAACCACTTAGTTACAAGTTACGACGAACTGGTTTCGTCGTAATGGTGGGGGCTTTAAAGTCTGTGGCAGTGGGGGTGAGTACTGAGTAGGGTAAGAACCCAATAAATGTGGGACTAGAAACTAGAGAACAACAAGAACCCTTCTCTTATTTAATAATGCATCTTCAAACACTTTGCTTTTGCTTCTGTGAGCAACCAACTCACCCAGTCTATCCTTTCCATCTTTATTGCACATCTACCTACTCCTGTTGTTCATCATTAAATGTTGGTGTTCTTACTGTTTTTTCATGTACAACTAGTTTAAAAGTTTGATCCATCCACATCCATATATACACAGTCTTTTTGAGTTCTGATCTCTTGTCTCTGGTGTTGAACTAGTTCTGTTTCCATTGACGTGTCCACTTCCACTACAAAAAAACCCCTTCCCAACACCATTTATTGTGCCACTAGTGGATCCTAGTAGACTATGTCCATGTCCACACAGAAAACAGACATGAAAGAGGAAACAAAATAGACTGGGTTGGAATTTGGATCCCAACCTTAGCTAAGAAATGGGTATCATGAGAACTCGAATATCAACTACTAGGACTCTTTGACATGAATGAGACCGATCAAGGACATCCAACTTTTCGTGATTTAGTTAGCACACTACTCTTTTCCGTCCACCGTGTAAAAGTGAAAAGCAAAGTTAATGTTGACATTCAACAATCCGTACTTCACTGAATGAAGTTTTTCACTGTAGAATGTACGAGTTAGTAACGTGCTAGATAAGTGAGTTGCACTTTGGAGTTGTGTAGTTATTTTTATTGTCCTATGTATGGGGAAGAAATAGATAGGGATATGAGGAAGAGGAAACAAAATAAACTAGCTTGGATCTCAATCTTAGCTGAGAAATGGGTACGGGAATTCAAATATCTCCTGCTAGGACTCTTGACATGAATGAGAACAGTCAGGATATCTGACGCTTTATTTCCTTCTATCATGTACAAAAGGAAACCAATGTTGATAGTAGCATTCAACAACCTAACATCCATTAAACGAATGTCACTTGCGTACATTCGATAATTCTTTCGAGTTAGCGACGTAAACACGTGCTTACCCCGAATAACTGGACTGTACTCAGAGTATATGGAATTATTTTCTTATTCTATGTGATGGGGAAGATAGATAGATAGATAGGGTTTGGGGTACTGTGTCCAAACTATTATCACACCAATAATATCTGTTTCCATGCCTTTTCTCTGACAAATTTCATCTTCTTTTTCCTTCTGATAAGATTTTTACAATCTCGGCCAAAGTCAAAACAAACACTTCTGCCTATCTGCAAAGGACTGCAACCTGAGAGGTCGTGAACAGAAACAAGACTGGCTCGGGGATCAATGATCAATTCCCTTCCCACAATTGCCTTTGTCCCCATTTTTTACATTGTTCCTGTGTAGATTTCTAAGAAATTAAAACTTTTGGTTACTAATTTTAGCATATTAGCCAACTGTACATTATAATGTTTGGTAAAAAAAAAAGGGAGGAAAAAATGAATTATTTCACTGTTCAACTAATGGACTCTATGCTTGCTTACAAAAAGAAAAAATGTCATAGAACCAGAAGAAGCATTCATTGAATTGATATGAAATCGACGTTTCACAATTCTATACTCAGTCTGCAAGGATACCTCCACCCAGCCAATACGATAAGATAATATAGAGAAAAGGACAAACCCTAGCTAGCAAAATTATAAACAACAATTAACAAAATCCAATCAAATTTTAATTTTTTTTCCTTGCACGTACGGGTACGACTCAGAATATAAATAATTTCCATCAACCAGTACTAGCAAATAATAATAACTCGTATGTAGGTAAGAAGAATACGGACCTTTTGAGGCCAAGGTCGACCATGGCCCTTTTAATGGCGTCCTGAGAGGCTCCTTCCGTTTGCAGTTCGTTCATCTTTAGGGCAATCAGTTTCCTCTCTTCCTGAATGTCCAGTCCGGTTGCCCCGTTTAGGGTATCCCCCATTCGATAAGGGCTCTCCAATATCAACCCCGACCTCTCCCCCGCGACATAAGCTAATCACCAAGTGGAAACAACGGTTAGTTAGTTAGTTACGTCGAAAAAAATGATCCTTTTGACTTTATGATTGAAAAAAATGATCCTTTTGACTTTATAATTGATTGTGTAGTGATTCGTACCGGTCGAGACGTGGACGAGAGCTTTGAGATTCGGACAGTTGTGACCAAAACCGACGACGTGCTTCGCGCCCATCGTGTTCAGCCCCATCGCAATGTCGTACCTGCACCCATTCATCGAACGAAAATTCACGATATATCTTGTAGAGTACGATGAAGTGATGAAACTATGAATTTAGGGTGTGTCATAATAGAAATACCTTTCATCAAAGTTGGTAGATGCAGCCAGATTTACAATAACGTCGACCTCATTCCACATTTGTTGTTTGAGTTCTGAGGAAGAGACACCAAGCCCTTCGTCCACAGAGATGTCACCAGGTACCAGAACTATCTTGTCTGACAATATGGTACTCAAATTTTCGCCAAACTTCTCCTTCACTACCCGGAACAGTTCCTTCCCTACAATCTGCTCCCTCCCAAGCAAGCACCACAACAACAAAGAAGTCAATTATCATTGGGGTAAAAATGGTAGCTCAGCTCTAGCTTTTCATTATTATGTGATAGCGATATCACTCACAAAAAAAAAAAAGGACCACCAAAGGGGATGAAAAAATTACCTCTTGTGATCACTTTCATTTATTTAGGATTAGCATTTCAGGCAACTAGGTTACCTACTAAACCTTTGATTCCAAATTTAATACAAGAATTAATTACTTAGCCTACCCCACCAAATAATCCAATATTAATCGATAACATCTAGCTTCTCTACCTTTCTCTCACATCTGACTTTGCTAATCCTTTAATTAACAACCAAATTATGGTTATATTAAGAGAGACAACAAGACAACAAAGGGAGGAAAACATTTTTCGCATTCGGGTTTAGTCGACCGACTTAAATATGACTCTTTGACAAGTTGTTTACTAAAGCTTACGCCCAAACCTTTTGCACTCTGAAATACTGAAAAAAGGGTAGTTTTTTTTTTTTTGTGGTTTGGGATTTTACCTCACTGTGAAATCTTTGGGAAGCAGCCTTGGCATCAGCAGCTCTGAGGAGAAGGTACATCCTCTTAACATTTGGCTGCTCTCTCAACACTTTCTCCAGGAAAACTGTCCACAAAAAATACACAAAAGGATTAATCAAATAGCAAAACCATCCACAACCCATTTGAGCCCTCTCAAGCTAGAACATGACAGAAAATCATGGAGGATGAAAATCATGTAAAGATTCGATTTTTTTCCCCCCTTTTTCGTTCCACTTACTCTTAGCTAGGAACCCAGTTGCACCGGTGATCAGAACCGCCCTGTTCTCCAAGAACTGCACCACACTCCCAAACTCCATTATTGCTCTCTCTCTCTCTCTTTCTTTCTGTTTGAAACTAGAGCACAATGCTTGGCAATGAATGATGATGGAGGGGATGAGAAGGAGAGAAGACTAATGTAGCAGGGGGAAGCAAAGGGGAAGAAGCTACCCAAAAGTACAATGGAAACTTGCTTGGTCTTTTCTGGTGGGGAAGTAAAAATTCGAGGACAGCAGTAAAGAAAGTGGAGGGAGTACTAGTTGTAGAAGGAGATGGGTTGGTTTTTTATTTTGGGGGATTGTGGACAGAGCAGCTGGCTAGATATATAGAGGGAGAAGAAAAGTAGAGGACATAGGGAGTGGGCAGATTTCGGTTCCCCATTTCCTCTCTCAAATATAAGGCCTTTGCTAACAGAGAGAAGATTGGGAAAAAAGTGACTAAAAACTAAAAAGGGTTGTTTTTTTATTAATTTTTATTATTATAGAAACTAAAGGCAAATGAAATGAGGAGGGGGTGACATTAATGAAGTGGAGTACACGCTAGTAAAATAATTGAAAAATAATGTCTTTGGGAAATTTTGAAAGATGTTAATTACCTTCCTCATAAAGCAATAGAAGAGCGGGAAGGAAAATCTGACGATAGGACAGTGCTATTTAAGAGCAGGATATTTACTCACACGAAATAAAAACGGGGATAAACGATCTATCTACTAATGAGTAACTGTAAGGAAATAGAAATGACGAGATGATCCATCATGATGAGAATAAGGAGCTAAACGGTTGTAATCAAATCAATATCGGACTAAAAGTCAGTGCATAAGATGCTTGAACAACTTGGGTGAAGGAGATTTACTTTCTGTCCAGTCAGTATGTGCTGATACTATATATCGGAACGTGCAGCTCGTGGTCTTAATTGTTTTATGTATGTTCTAGTGTTATTTGTTTTGTATAATTATAAATTACCTTGAACATGTATGTATAGTAATTAAGATTTGTAGATTGCCCAATCTAAATGTCAATAATTGACACTTACTGACCATTATTACACCTGTCAACCTGTTAGACGAATTGGATAAAAGAAAAATATGTCTTGATTTCGTTGTCTATATATTTTTTTCGCTCTCTTTTGGTGGGGATTTATTTGTTGATTGACTTACAAGTTTTTATGAAGTGGAGAGACTTAACGAAAGCTATATTAATTAGCGTTGTGATTAATTAGTGGGTTATTAAAATTGGGGAGGATGGTCGCTTAAAATGTACGGAGGTTGTGTATTATTACTTATGAGTGTTAATAATGATGAGACGTGTTGTTAATAAATAATTAGTGCGTTTTCTTCCTTTGCCCTTTTGGAGGAGAATCTCCTTAGCGCGCGCGTTTGGAAAAAAATCAAATTACGTGCAACGGTGAGTCGTGATTAAAATAATGTGTTTTTTTTTTAATTAGACAACAGTATTAGCTAGCTAGACAAGTTAAATTTGGATTAGCCAATTAGGGTTTATCTGATTCAGGTTGGCTAAACGGTTCCGAGAGATTATAATTGATATTAATTAATTTGGCAGTGCAGGGAAATTGGTAAACAAACTTCAGAAGGAGCAGTCATGTATGAAGGAAAATAACGAGGTGATTTAATGTATAACTTTGATCGTTCTGTACCCAAAATATTGGCAAACACTATTATTATGTGTTAAACTTGCATCTAGACATGTATACCAATAATATTTTTTAAAAAATATTGGCCGAATCTGTCCACAAGAAATCCAAGAGGCCCATAATAACAGTCCCCAATTCTAGAGTTTCCTCCAAAGAGTAACTTATCAAATCCCTAATTCACACCACAATCCCCAATTCTATATCACAGTCCCCCCAAATACGAACCTTAGAAGTACGCACCACAGATCCATAGTTCTTACATCCTTCCGTCAAAATTTGAGTACGATTTATGATATTATTGATGCTTGCAAAGGTAGGTTTGGATGTTAGGATGTCAAACGTAACCCATACTAGAGACTCTAAATCAAAGGGATACCAACATTTCGAACACCTAATCGAGAATATCAGATCTATAGAAATATTTGTTTCGACTTCAACTTTTGAAACACATAAGCCTAAGTTTTTTCTTTTTCTTTCCATCAAGACTCGAGGGACTTCTCACAATCACAAACAATGCAACGTGTCAAATTTTGGTTAGTGTCTAGGTAAATCACATAAAGAAAAGGTCAAAGAGCCATCTTCGTGGAGGCATATCAAAAACTACCATCACTTTCTGACAAATGTTTTCCCTCCCTCGTTGTGGTAATCAAGGCTCGGCTATCGCCATTTGGATCATGTGCTTTCATGACCTAGAGGATTTATTAGTCGGCATACATTGATTATTTTGTCAAATTCCACACACCCTTTTTATACATTAGTCAAACCCCCACTATCCCTTCAATCAAAGTCAAAACTTTTGCCTTCAATGGAAGAAAAATGTATGGTGTGAAATAGTAGTGTAACAAACCCTGCTGCCTGCTGGTATATTGATGTTGTACGCGGGATCATAAAGAAAGGGTAGGAACCGGCAGCAATTGCCATATATGGGTGGGGGAGGTGGTGACCTATCTATAACATTGATTAGGGTTCTGTATTGGTCTTTATTATTCCACGACGACGGTTCTCGTGAATTTGGTCCGATCCAAATTATGTCACTTTGTTCCGTTTTTTTTTTTGTACTTGGGGTCGTTTGGATGAATCAGTTATCTCGTTTTGTAAAACGAGTCAATTCGAATTATCTACACCCACCCCAGGTACAGTTGCAATTGCCTCAAAATGAATCGATTCGAAATTCCCCAGACCAAATTGCTCCATCCAAATTTTCTGTTGTCAAACGAATCAATTGGGTCAAGTTTGATCCATTAGATTCGTCATCCAAACGGACCCCCTAAACGTTGGTTTGGTCCGGTCCAAGCATCAATTTGGTCCGGTACGAACCAAACCCGATGCACACCCATCATAGCATTGATTACACTGCAACTCCCCTATAGCTACTGGTGCGAGCGAGACTGCTAGTAGCTGCAGCCAAGCCAAGCAGGGTAGTAAAGAACTCACTGGGAAAAGCAGAGAGCAACTGGGTTTGGGTTCAGTGGCTTGCCGACAAATGGCTCAGTAGATACCGACCCACGAGACTTCCCTTTCACACGCTTCATTCCAACGGTCCAACCCAACCAACCAACCAACTCTCCCCGACCCACATCTATTAATCTCTCTCTAGCAAGCTAGATCCAATTGTTTCACCATAAATAAATAAATAAATAAACTTATAAAAAAAAAAAAAAGCTAGCTCCAATTGCATACGTGCAAAGGACTCATCTCACTTCTCTTTATGGATTCGTACGATCTTGGTACATTGATAAATCCGTTGGGTAGTTCATTGTTCTAGTTAGAATCCACGTGTCTATTGCACATCCGATTTTATCTACGGTAAACAACAACGAACTTCGTATGCTTTACCGTTAAAATTTCTCGTGGTACAGTTATGTTGGCCTCAAGGGCATGGCGTGTGCCAAGTCTCGCGACTATGAACGTGCACCAATGTATTCAGCGAAATAGTAATTGTTATATCTCCGCCATAATTGTTCCATGTGTCGAACCCCCAGCAACCATCATTAGTTTTTCTTATCGGTTTCAAGTCGTTTCGCTATTTGCCAAAAACGATTCCAACTGGAGCTGTTAAACCAAAACCCGACTCTCCCGACGATCTTCCGACACGATTTGGCATGCAACAACCCATGCAGTGAACCAAGTCTTTAGTAATTACCTTAGTTAATTAATAACATAAGTTTAAGCATATACGTTGACCGCGTAGCTAGCCTGGCTGCTGCTAGTTTCTGGTAAGATTTCTGGGGCCGTTGGTCAATAATAATAACATCTAATATTATGTACAAATTGTGCCACCTGTAAATTTCTTCACAATGTATACACATGACACATGGAGGGAAGTTGTTCAACAGTTCTAACTTCTAACTATCTCGAAGCCAAACCCATATGTGCATTAGTTGTCTGATCTCCAATTACAGTTGTTTCTTCTTCTTCTTCTTCTTCTTCTTCTTCTTCTTCTTCTTCTTCTTTCAAACATGTTCTGATCACGATTGCTACTTTGCTAGCTACTTGGCCAATGGCTCTTTGGCACATGTCAATATCATTCATGACACGTACGAAACAGGAAAAAAAGAACATGTTGTAATGTTCTTATTTGGTCCATCAACTCCTCTGTTGTCAAACCCATTTCTAAGATTAGTCGATCATCCTTTACCAACTAAAACCCATCTTAGGTTTCATTCACACCCTTATTAAGGAAATTCCCAGAGTCGTCGTGTTCCTATTCTCTTCCCGGCCGCTCATCTTAGTATTTGTAATCATTTAATATCCCGACGACGACATTTGCCGAAATTTTGGGGAAGATGATGGAAACCTTTGCCAAATTGATTTTGAATGTTACTAATTAACCCTATAGTCCAACAATACCACGAGAGTGTAGTTCTTTACAATATGGTTCTTTGGTGGGCTTTGACGATATATATATATATATATATATATATATATATATATATATATATATATATATATATATATATATATATATATATATATCACTTGCTTTTTAGGGTGCATTCAACTCTAAAGTTAGTCATAGACATCAAATTTTGAATTTTAATTGATAGCATTAGTATAATATGATGATATAACAATTAACAAATGATCATAACTAATCAATCAATTACCTTACCCTAAACCTTCAATTTCGAATACCAACCCAACATCCCAAAATGTGAACCCTAACCCTAATCCTAAATTCCTAAATCTTAAATCCTTCAAATCAAAGTAAATATTTAATATTTTTTTTTAATTCATGGGATTTCATGTCTATCATATCACATGGGGTTTCATTTCTATCATATCACAAGTAATGATTGACATTGTTTTGACATGAATCGCCTATTCAAAATGGCGATTATGAGGCGGGAGCACTGAATGCACCCAAAAAAGTGAGTGCAACGAAGACACCACTATATATATATATTCTACGATACATAGGGTGAAATCCGGGGTACTGCATACCTTGAGTAAGAAAACGCTATCCAGAACTTGAATTGACTGATCTTTCGGACATGATACTATACTCTAACCCTTAAAGATCAAAATCTAGATCTTAATTCTCTAAATCTTATACCCCAAAATCAATTTAATTAAAAATCGACGGTTATTATTCGTCCAAATATAGGGGGGAAATTAATGCACCATCTTAGGGTTTATAGTTTATGATTTAGATAATTAGGACCTAGGGTTCACTCATTAAGGGTTAGGTATAGTATCATGCCCAAAAATCCTGCTAATTCGAGGTCTAAATAGCATTTTCATACTCAAAGTATTAGGTACCCCGCATTTCACCCGGGGTACCGTAGAAGGCACCATATATATGGGGAGTTATATATATATATATATGGGTAGTTTCTATCGTACCTTAGGTAAAATCGAGGGTATGACATACCTTGAGTAAGAAAATGCTATCTAGACCTCAAATTAACCGAATTTTTTGGCATGATACTATACCCTAACTCTTGATGGGTGAACCCTATGTCTTATTCATCTAAATCATATAAAGCTTAACCCCTAAGATTGTGCATGTAAATTTTGGGATATATTGCGACGAATCAGGACCATCAATTTTTGTTTATAATTAAATTGATCTTAGTGTATGAGATTTATAGAACTAAGACATAGATTTCAATCTTCAAGGGTTTGGGCATATTACCAGATGCCAAACGCCGGTCAATTCAATGTCTAGATATCATTTTCTTACTCAAGGTATGCTATACCTTTGATTTTACCCAAGGTACGATAGAACCGTCCATATGATACTATACCCTAACCACTAATGGATAAACCCCAGTCCCTAGTTTTCTAACCCAAATCATGAGATTTGTTTAATCTTAAAATGAAAATCAACATTAATTTCGACGAATCAGAACCGTTGATTTTCATTTCAAGATTAAATGAATATTATTATTTGGGTTAGTGAATTGCGGACTGGGGTTCACCCATTAGGGGTTAGGGTATAGTATTGTGCCCCAAACTCCGGTTAATTTATTGTCTAAATAGCAAAACTCAATGGGCGTACGGTAGGCTAGGGTACGTCCGGGCGTACGCCCGGGCGTACTTTAGGCTACCGTAAGCCCGTTGAGTTTTCCTATTTAGATCATGAATTAATCGGAGTTTTTGGCATGATACTATACCCTAACCTCTAATGGGTAAACCCCAGTCCCTAATTTTCTAACCCAAAATCATGAGAATCGTTTAATCTTAAAATGTAAATCAACAATAATTTCGACGAATCTGAACCGTTGATTTTCATTTCGAAATTAAATGAATATTATGCTTTGGGTTAGTGAATTGGGGACTGGGGTTCACCCATTAGGGGTTAGGATATAGTATCATGTCCCAAACTTTGGTTAATTCATTGTCTAAATAGCAAAACTCAACGGGCGTACGGTAGGCTAAGGTAGACTATTGCCTAGCTAGTAGATTTTAAGGTTTTGTATCCCGTACAAGAAGCGTCTTACTGGAAATCTAACACCATTATATATATTATGGTTACACTTATGTTTAACGTGTTAAATTTGTCCTCGGTATAGAATGGTGTTAGATTTCCAGTAAGACGCTTCTTGTCCGGGATACAAAACCTTAAAATCTACTAGCTAGGCAACAGTCTTTTAGACTTTTGTATCTCTCGGAATAGTACTTTTTTAGATAAAGTATGATATAGGTTGATATTTAGAATTAAGTGCTAGTGAAGAAATTTTGAACCTAAAATTTCCAAGTTCAAAATTTGTGATATTATCACTCCCGGTCTCCTAATTCTCAAATTTATTGAAAAACTTCCTTTCATTTCTGTCACTATTTAGAAGTTGAGTAGGACAATAACAGCTCGTCATAACAATGTAAACATGACTTTGCCTCTGCATGGACCTTAAAACTTTTCCAGATGAATATAAAATAACTAGACGATAACTTATACTCAATTCTTTCCTCAAACCGAGAAGAAAGGAATGGCAGCAGTTGATTAAACCTCATCACAGAGTCGCGACAGTACAGAATATAACCTTGGATCTTGTCTGGCAAATCAACGCAAATGGTATTACAATTCGATTCAAACTGCACGCCGTGCACCAACAAGAACCGATTACATAGAAGTTTGCGAATTGCGAGATCAATCTCTAACCTGATCATCACTGGCTCGCACTTCAAGACCGTGCTCTTGTTTTTTGTCTCAGCTTCTCGTCTCTGGGCTCGACCTTTTCTTGGTTGACTCAAAGTTGTTTGTTGGATCTGCTTTCCCTCACTCGAGGGCTGCCCACTTTCAGCCCGATGCAATAGCCCAATTTCACAGCTAAAGAACAGCTCTACAGTAGAAAAAAGCCCACTCAAGAGCGCAATGCAACAGATATTCTGCAGATTTCTGCTACTTCAACCAGCTTTCAGGTTTTATGGGGGGGAAGAAGACTGATGGGTTAACACTTGGCTCAATTGATTACAGTTAGTCCAAAAGAATCAAAAGGTAAAGAAAAACAAACTTTCAACTATCCAGTTAGAAGTAGTGTCTATTACATTACAAATTAAGCTGCTGCAGCAAACTAAAAACTAAGTGCCAAGAAATAATTCACAGTAGTAGCAGATGCTGCCTTCCCCTGCCCCCTAAGGGAAGCTGTCCTATTTTTTCGTCGTGAGAAGCTGCAAATGGCAGCAACAAATTGCAGCTTTCTATCTATATATCCATTGTACTACTAAGTCCTATTCTGTGGTTAATCTTCTTCAGCAAGAGAATCTTCGGCAACTAAATCCGTATTTAGTGCAGAATCCACTTGCTCCACTGGCGGCTGTTTACAGTTCTCGTCATTTGAGGGACTCGGATCATCGATGTTCTTGTCATTTGAGGCAGGAGGATCATCTGGGTTCTTGTCATTTAAGGCACTCGGGTCGCCAGGGTTCCTATTGTCATCACCGGTAATGACACAGAGACTCTTGTCCTTTGAGACACTCAGATCGTCAGGGTTCTTGTTGTCGTCACCTGTAATGACACTCAGAGACGGGCCTTTGTCTGTAAGCATCAGAGCAAGATCCTTTTCAGCATCGGTCACTGGTTTTATGGGTTCTTGCTGAAGAGCGGTCTCATTATTTGGTACTCGCGGGTCAACATCCATCTTTTCCGTTGCCTCGTGGGGTCCAGGTAGCAGCAGGGCAGAATTCTTCTTACTAATGTTGTTAGTGTCAGCCTCAGCACCTTCGTATTCGGACAAGAGATCCAAGAATTCATTGAGCAGCCTCTGTACTTTTCTGTTGCATGCCATTGCTGGAAGAATGTCTTCTCTCAGGAGTTTCTGCTTTCTCATCCCCTGAGGAGGGTACAAAAGAGGGTGGCATATGAGAAACCGAGTAGTAGCAAGCAATAACGGTATGGAAAGAACTGAGAGAAGCATGTCCTACAAGTACAAAAGGATCCCAAGCCACGTTCTTGGTGTCCGAAGAAGATGTTGCTGCTTCCGTCATTCCAGTAGGAGGTCCTAGGAAACTTTCGCATACTTCACGCAATCGTGACTCATCTGCTTCTCTGAAAATCAGGGAGCCATAAGAACATCATAATCACATATTGCACATGTTTGATTACCAGGGTCATGAGGTAAAAAAAATGAACAAGGGCATACCTTGCTAGGAAGCGTATGTATGACAGAAGGCACTGGCGGTATTCATTTGGGGACTTCAATGCCAAACTTGATGCTAACTGTGCCTCCAAATGGGCACGCGTCTGTATTCCATCATCCGTCACTCTACAACACCACCAAGTTAACAACCCATTTCAGTGCTACGTAGCCAAGATAAATATCCATATATTTCAGTTCGCTATCTGTCAATACCTGTTCCAAGAAGGCTTTCTGCCCATGTATTTTCTGACTTCGACTTGCAATGCAGACAACTCACCACTATGAACAGAACCCAAATTCCAGGAGCTAGCAAAATTAGAAGTAGGAAAGCTATCATCTGCCACCCTCAGCCAACACCTAAGACTCGTGTCAAAGAGGAAAGCATGGCGGGTGTCCAGAACAACCAAAGGTGAACCCGACTTTGACAACTTGGCTGATATGACTTTGATTGTGCCTGAGAAGTAACAAAGAATTAAGTACGATGATTATTACACAATTTAAGTACCACAAAGTCTAATATTTAGTGAGAGAGCTAACCTTTAGCAGTGGATTTTGGATCTGAAATGACCAGAGATGTTAACGAGTCATGAAGAAGACAACTGCGCCTGAAGAGATCCCATATATATATAGATCCCTTCCGTGTGACCAACAACAACTTCCAGTTCTCATCGCAGTCTACGAAAGTTGCGGCTGATCCTGTCATCATTGTTGGCATTGCGCGCCTCCCACATTTTGTGTAGATCTTCCAATCAGAGGATAAGCATAAAACAATGAGTTCATCAGATACAGATACACAAATAGAAGAGGACACATAAAACTCCAAGTAAAGTTGACCTATCCTATTTTTCACATGACAGGCTAACAGCACAACAGGCACATTAGCCTAGATATTTCTGTACCAAAGACCAACAATAAAGTCGAATCTTTGTGAAGACAAAAATCTATCTTTTTCCCCCGGTTTATGCGAAGCAAGGAACCACCAATGTAGATAGCTCAGGAAGAGAAAGATGATCCAGAATAAAAGAAAAGAACACCACCGAAACAGTAAAAAGGTTGGCCGAGGATGAGAAGCTACCTGTAGACAACCATCTTCACAACCAACACCCCAAAAGTTGGCATTTCCAGCTAAAACAGTTACTTTTCCAGATATCCTATCGGACCAAAGGGTTTGGGCCCCTCTGTTACAAGAAACTTCAGTTTCCTTTATCGTACTAGTCTTTGCATTTCCAAAAACATCAGTTACTGCACGTTCTCTAGGGTGAGCTTCCAAGCATATTGGTATGTTGTCTTCACCTACTTTCTTATCGAACACCCTGATTGAAAGTGTACTACTACCAGCACTAGGGGAGCTAGACGCTTTCATGCCAGACTGTTCAACACTGACCATTGCACCGTCCCCAGTCGAAGATGCTTCTGGAGCCGCCTTTTCAATAACCAAACTCTCTGTAATGGTAGCTCTAGCAGTAAACCCGCCTCGTTTATTCAAATTAGAGATTCGGTCAACTGTTCCCCTAAGTGGTCCCTCCCGCTTGCCAACAGCATCGATTGAAACTAACCCATTTTCTTCCTTTCTGTGATCAGTTGCTGTAGAGGGTAAGTCAAGGGCTTGAGCATCATGGATCCCTGCAGCAGCTACTGTATTTTGCTGGCTTGGCAAGGCAAGTGCTTCTGGAATTATTCTCTTCCTTCCATCAGGGCGCCTGTATTCTCGTTGTTTCACAGGGCTAGAAACTCGAGCAGAAGTTGACACTTTATTATTCAAGCCCTCATTATTAGTGACCACTCCTCCAGCTTTCTTCTCGGCATCAACTTGGGGCTCAGGGGGCTTTGTAATGGACACCAACTCAAATGAAGATTTTACAGGTGGCTCATTTTGCTTATTGTCTACAGCCACCTTTTTGCTGGCTGTCTGCTTAGCTGAGGCTGCCTCGAGCAACAATTGTTCAGGACTCTCTGCCAAGTTTGCCTGCCGGCCTTTGACATCACCATATCGGCTTCTCTTTAACTCACCTAGTTCTGTATCACTCAGCTTTTGTCCGAGTTCTTTTGCATCAAAATGGAAAGTAGCCACTGATCCATCCAATGAACAGGCAAAGAGTGAGTATCCATCAGGGCTCCTGTTTGGAAAAGAAAATCAGCAAAATAAGAAAAAAGGATAATCAATAATCCAAAGAACATTTATTAAAATGTTTGAAATAGATAAATTTACCAGGACAAGTCGACAACACTTTGTATGAAGACATGCTTGGCCACAAAAAGAGGGCGAGGACTTGCAGTCGTCCACACAGTTATTGTTCGATCCTGACTACCAATTGCAATAACATTGTATGGCTGAGACTCTTTGCTTGCAGTCTTTGAAGCCCCATTTGTCCACCCAACTGCTGTAGTTTTAGCCTCTTGAGAATTCGAGGTGCTTGTCCTAAACATTGAATGGTTAAACTTTACAACTACAATGGGAGCATTGTGTCCAAGGAAGTCAAATGTGGCAGCCCACTCTCCTCTCTCTAGAACAGGAGCAGAATGCCTCGGCTTCTGGAACCCATGTGTGGTCGTTATGAAATGGCCACAAGGTGACCAGCCAAGACGCCTGAAAAAAGTCGATCCAAGCTGGCAAAGAAAAAAAAACAACTTAAGATGCAAACTTAGGACCCATACACTAGGAAGCAGCAAATTTGTTAAGGAAGAGACAAAAATTTCACGAAAAGGAAAGAGAAAACAGACTGATTTCGCCCAGTGGCCATCGGTTCTGTGAGCCAAGCTCCAGTCACTCGTTCTCCAGATAATTACAGTCTTATCATCAGATTGACTTGCTATGAAAGAGCCAATGGGATCCCAAGCAACTCCTTTAACAAGGCTAGAGTGACCTCTAAGAACAGCCGTGCATATTCCATTGCTCATATTCCAGACATGAACAGTGTTATCCAAACTTCCACTAGCCAGTGTGGAGTCATCCGGGGACCAGTTAAGATCCACCTACTTTTAAGCATAGAACAAAAAGCACCCAGTTAGATAGACACTAGAACAACCAGCAGAAAAAAAAAGGAGTGTCAAGGCGTTCAGTTATCCATTCAATAAAAGAGCATGAAACAGATCGAACAAGTTTTTCCAACTTCGGTGATCCAACTAGCGAAAGCAAATGTCATTACCACATCAGCACTATGCCCTCTCAAAGTCAATGTAACCTTCCAATTCTCCACATCTGGGGCTTCTCCGCTACCAAACTCGGTGGTTCCTGAACCAGGCTTCCTTTCATGAACTAAGATCACCTGATCATCAGAACCAGATGCAACGTAACGGCCATGCTTAGCCCACCTCACGCAATTAACAGAACCAAAATGATCACGAAGAGTTGCTAGGAGCCTCTGTGATACATCATTCTCTTCTAAATTCCTGCTGACAGATTTCATATTCCATATCCTGACCTGAAAATTTCATGTAATTCAATCAGAAAGATAACAACAGCTAAACACAACAAATGTGGACTGCATTTCACACGATATGGTGGAGCAACCATCTCATCCTCTGGAAACAAGAATCAAAGGCACAGCAGCTATAACTTTCTTACAGGTTCCAATTTCAAAGAGCCAATGAGAAACCCCTAGTTCCATCGTAAGTTCTCGCATATTTGGGCACATTAGAGGCTGAACATTTTCGACACTAAGAGGAAGTAGGAAAGGCAAAGCATTTATTTACCTTATGGTCGCCTCCACCAGTAGCAAACCTGAGGCCACCAGGCTGAATATCGATGGAGAAAATCTGCATTCCCTCATGTTTAACCCAAATGGGTTTCTCAGTAATCATCTTTGCTTTCTACCCAAGAAGAAGCTCTGCTTCTCCCACAACCCCCTTTAATCTGTTCCGTTCTACGACACAAACACGAAGTTGTCTAATTTTAACAACCCCGCCATAAATCCCCTCAATTTCATCCAAACCCCGCAGGAATCACATGTTTAATCAGACCTGCTGAAACTGAAACCTAAGAGAACTGAACAGAGCGTGGAGTAGAGAAGAAGCGATCTTCACACTATCTCACTCACGTTGAAGTGCCCAAAATAACCCTCGATAGCGAACCATGTACCACAACTTTAGGATTCGACAACTTAATAAGAACCACAGTTTGCAGACAAAGCAAGTATAAACCCTAGAGAGCTGCCGGCGAATGAAAGGAAGAGGATCTTGAAGAAGATAAAGAACACCTCTTTTCTTGTTTCCTCTTCGTAACGGTCAAAACCTAAATCCTAATAAGGCTCCGAGGTTGTCCGACTGGACTGCTATTATGCGACTCTGTCTGTCGTCCGTCCCTGCTAATTTTCTTTTCTTTATTGAGAAGAAGGGAAAAAGACAGAAATTTGAAAATTCGAGAATCACTTGGAAAAGGTAAATTAGGGTTTATGGAAGGATTCGATAATGACAGCTGCCCTGCCTTCCTCCTCGCAAAAGATTCGTTTCTCTACTAATTTACTCTTTTCTTTTTTGTTTTCTTTTCTTTTTCGGAACCTTTCTTCTGCTATAAATATCACAAAGAGAAAACCCACAACCACAAGTCAACTGCCAAGTGCTCCAGCAAACATGACAAAGAACTCCTCTTTCTGTGCAGAAGAACTCCGCATCCCTCTCGGATTTGCTTCTTTAGCTGCCAAGCTTCATTGAGACATAGAGATGAATAATGGGTAGCTGAGTCTGTCGCCATTGTTCCAAAAGTCTGCAACTTTTCAAGGATTGGAGTCAGCAAGCGCATGCTGCTGTTGAAAGCGGAGAGTAGGAGATGATAATCCACGCATTTTTCCTGAAAGACATTGGCAACTTCGCTGAAGAGGCAGACCCTTTTGACTCTGCACTGAAAAGTGAAAACCCACTTCAATGTTCCACCGCACACCGGTTTCTGTGTCTCAAATCTCCACTCCCTGGCCGTAAGGAGCGAGGACGCCTCAGATGTCCGCCACTTGTTCGACGAAAGTCCTCGGTAGGCAGGCTGCAACCGCCTGCTTTTCGAGCGCACAGTAATAATAAGACACTCCGAGGTTCTGAGCCTCTTTGTGGGAATTCATCGTTCTGGTATTCTTGTTGATGGATCGACCGTTTCTTGCGTGCTCAAACCTTGTGCATACTCGCTTGATCAAAATCTTGGTGTTCAGATTCATGCCCATTGTACCAAGTGTGGATTTTTGCACGATGTGAGTGTTGCTACTTCCATTGTTGATACGTACTTCAAGAATGGGAGTGTGGAGAGGGAGGAGTTTGTTCGACCAAATGGGGGAAAGGAACGTCGTTTCATGGACATCTTTGCTCACAGATTATGCACAGAAAGGTTCGACTGCCGAGGTGCTGCGTGTTCGTTGAACTGCAATAAGAAGGTGTGCAACCTGGAGCGTTTACTTTTGCCACTGTTATTTGGTCATTCTCCGGTGAAAGAATGGTTGAGAAGGGACTCCTACTTTAGGCTGCAGCAATGAAAACGGGTTTCAAACAACTTCACCCCGTTTGCAATTCTTTGATCAGCATCTACTCAAAATCTGGACGGATTAGGGAAGCGAGAGCAGTATTCCATTATTTACCCAATAGGACTGCTGTTAGTTGGAAATTGGAATAGTGGTTGCTGGTACGTGTCACGACCCATTAATTAGAAACAAATAATAAAATTGAAGGAATGCACTAGCCATGCCATGGTTCTATTCAAATTTCAAATTGGTCATAAGCTACAAACTCGAGCTGTTAGCCTGTTACATCTATCAGAACTCCGACCTTCACCTTCTCCAGAAGACTTGGCAATCAAGAACAGTCTTTCACTCCATCTCCCTCGACGCATTTTAACACTCCGATCATCCTTAATCTTTCTAACAGGTGCGAAATCTCAGCAGCCTGCAATTACTCTTAGTTGCTCCCCTTGTTCTCAGAAACCCAAGCAGATTAGTTGCCAATTGCCACAGGACACCAGCAGAGGATGCATTCCGACGTGTTTGCTTCGTACGACAGTGGCATATGATGGCAATGCTGCAGGCGAGCAGCAGAGCTGATGTCACTAGCGCCCGCTGTTTAATTGTGCTTCGAGCCAAAGACAAGTCTGAATAATTTGCTACAGAAAATGCATGAAATCTTTTTCAATACAAGCAAAATAAAACATTCACTGACTATACAGAAGAACCGTGGGACCTCAACTCCAATATGACCATGCTGAAAGTAAAGATGAAACAAATGCAAACACGTTCTAAAAGGATTCTTTGTACAATTTCATAGACTTCAATTCAACAACCCCCGACCTTTATAAGTATTCGGAGGTTAAAATTACACCAGGGAAGTCATGCCACCACCTTCCATATGGACAATGAGGTCGTATATAATTCATCATCAGCAGATTTTTTTAAGCAACAGAAGCAACAACTAAGACATACAAACTCATGTCGAGCAAAGCAATCTCAATACAGTAGTGATTAGAGATCATAATTCCATTAACCTTCCTCCCCAAACTCCTTTGTGAATCTTTCGTGGACATCTAGATCAGATTTGCTCACTGTGGGCCTCTGTCTGGCAAGGACCTTGTCAAAATCGGTCTTTGAGATAGGGGGTGGAAGGATCTGCATTAAGCAACAATCAAACCCGTTCAAGCACCATAAAATAAGTAAATTGAGAGACTAGAAAACCATGCCATATTGAACAAACTGAAACAAGTTTTAAAATGCGAGGATTTGTGGGACTATACCTTTGCCGCTTCTCCTTTGGTTGCCAGATCCTGCATCGTTGTTTGCACTGCACCGGATTGCTTAGGTCCACATGGTACCCACATACCATTAGGTGTCTTAAAGAAATACATGGCATCCTGGGTTTTACGAACAGGCTCAAACAGAACATCTTTAACCTGTTCCAGTTTAAAGCAATATACAATCACTTGAATCATCCATTGCAAATATAGAGCGAACTAAATAACTAACTAGTGAGAAGATAGATGCATTTCAGTTGGAATAATGCTTACACAAACAGATATGTCTGAACCTGAGAAGCCCTCTGTCCTACGACCTAAGCTTTCAAAATCACTTTCTGTCAAGTTATGAGGAGTATCACCAAGATGCACCTGTCCAAAAAATTTCAGGCCATAAGCAAAATTAAGAGATAACACACGAATTCTGAATAACATCCAAATGGAAAAAGCCTCAAGAATATTTGCTACATAGTTCTATACCTTGAACATGTACTGTCTAGCCTTTGCATCAGGTAGCGGGATGTAAATACGCTTGTCAAAACGTCGCCTGATAGCCTGGATTCAACTCGTCTTTTAGAAATTGAACCAAATAACCCCTATCCAGGCAAATCTAATGTAATTTCTCACAATTACCTACCTGGTCCAAGGCATATGGTGTATTAGTCGCCGCAAGAACAAGAACCTTCTGGTCATTGTTCCCTACACCCTGAAATCAACAAATGCAACAAGATCTTATATATCAATATGAAAGCCTTTAACGCTCATTTAAAAACTCTCTGCCTTGTATTCAGAAAAGTAATACAGGGGGGACTATGGCTTCCAGAGGCCGCATACCACCGTGATGAAACTGCAGACATACTAGTGAATCATTATCATACCGCCCACAATGACCAACCTAGACGAAACTAAAACAATAGTCTGAAATTTAAAATGAATCAGACCATCACATGACTGACCCACAAAGTATACTGCAAAAAAAGATGCTGACTGACAGCACAGGAACTTATTTAATCTTCAACACTTGGAAACATGCTCCAACACTAATTCCTAACAACACCTAAAAGACCGGGATAGTACTGATATTCTAGCAACATATCTAATAAATTTAAGTGTGGTACTTGATGTATTGATATCCATACAAATTGATCAGATAAGCTCTTGCCGGGTACCTATCAATCCCAGATGTCCAGTGAGCACCACCAGACAAGTAACAAAAGCATGCATCAACATCTGTTGAACATAATTATGCAAAAATAAGTGGAAAGTGCCACCAACAAACACATGAAACACAGGCACACAGCTGCTCAACTTCCTCAATTTTTTAAGCACTGCATACAAGTGGGCCTAGTAAAGAACATCACCATGAGAAGATGTTGCCCACATATAAGCAGAAGTTTAAGAATGAGAAGATAAGGAAAAAAAATTGACCTCCATCATCAAATGTTAATATTTAAAACCAGACCTGCATTTGAACAAGAAGCTCAGTCTTAATGCGTCTGGAAGCTTCACTTTCATTGCCTTCACCACGTTGGCCACACAGCGAATCTATTTCATCAACAAAGATGATAGAAGGAGCACTTTCACGAGCCATTTGGAAAAGATTCGAGACAAGCTTCTCACTCTCACCCATCCACTTTGAAACCAGGTCTGACGAAGAAACACTGCAAAAGCCAGATAAAAACAAAACGATAAAAAAAAAAAGAAATCAAAATGTAGACCAAAATAAAATTGGTGAAAGAAAATAAACAAACAGGAACCATGTATGCAAAGGAAGAAGAGACAACAGACATGCCCCATTACATTAAAATCTTTACCTGAAAAAGGTAGAGTCTGCTTCAGTTGCAACAGCCTTGGCCAAGTAAGACTTTCCGGTACCAGGAGGCCCATACAAAAGAAAAGCCTTCCATGGCCGTCTCTTGCCTACGTCATACAAGATAGGCAAACATAAAGCCAATGAGCAGAGATAGGATACGTAGATAAATGAGACGAGGAGCTACTAGTCTGGGTTTATAGACAATGGGACGAATAGTGAAGTTTGTATGGTCGCCATGGTGAGCGAAAGAGTTCTCTAAGGCGACCAGCTAATCAATGTTACCATAAGCTACCCATAAAAGCTAGAAACACACAATCAACAGTCTCTCACATTTCTCCAATTCGAGTATTCATCATTGACATCCAAGTCTTGCAATAATCAACCAGACTTAAGAATTATCAGTCATCACTCCTCCAAACAATAGAACAGTCTATCATCTAAACCGCACACTTTGCACCATTCAACAACTCCACAAACCATCCTAAAATATAACTCGACATAGACAAACTAAAAAGCCAGAGCAATCACCACTAATCCACAAATCCATAACAGTACCCAATCAAACAAGGAAAACCCACAAAACGAACCATCACCTGTAAAGAACTGGGGGAACTTGACGGGTAAAATAACAGCCTCCTGAAGCGACTGCTTTGCGCTCTCTAGCCCAGCCACATCAGTCCACTTGATATTAGGCTTCTCCCTAATGATCGCCGAATTCAACCCAGCTCTGAGCTTCGACTGCTCAGGATCCTCCCCATCTTCCCCGTCCTTGGGCTTCGACTTGGGCCGCGTAGCAACGGCGGCGTCGCCGTTGGAAGCCGGACCAGGCCCGCCCTCATCCAACACTGTCCGGATCTCCTCCGCGCGGCGGAGGTACTCGGTGAACTTCTGGGTGATCGCCTCTCGGATTTTGGGGTTCTTCTCGTACTTGAGATGGGTCTTGAAGTACTCTAGCGCGTTCATATACAAAGGGAACGCCTTTGCGTAGTTCCCAGCATTGTCTTCCTGAACGGCCTGCTTCACGTACTCTATCGCCTGCTCCTTGAAATTGCTGTACATTATTCAAGAATCCCAACTCAGAAAATCGGCTTGATCGGTCAATCGAGAGCTTGGGATGGCATGAGATGACAGACCACTGCGTGAGCTGAGAAACCCTAGAAAGTGGAGAGGATTGGAGGGTCTGAATTGGGTTTGGGGGGGATGGGGAAATTGGGATCTGAAGAAGACGATGGCGGCTGGTTTGGTATTGGTGGAGATAAGGGAACGGACGATCGAGAAGGGGAAAGGGAGAAAGTCGGGAAATTTTGGTCCGTCAAATGGAAGGAAGCGTGTGTTGCGAGAAGGAATGTGAAGAAATTAAGGAACTTAAGAAGGTGGGGAGGAAGGAAGAGATGGGCCAATCCTTTGACAGAAAATTTACCTAAACGGAAAAGGAGTTTTCTGACGTATGATCAAGGTGATCAACCCGGTTTAGCTTATTGGCTTGATTGAGAAAGTGTGTGAATGGTTCATGGTCCAATCGTTCCAACTTGATTTAGCTTATTATATTGTTATATAAATAAATAAAATTTTATCAAATTTTATCTAACAAACAAGTAATAACATATAATATTACATTAAAATCATAGTTCGTTCTTGAATCCAATATATAGAAAAAAAATTCAAACACGCTAAAATCTGTCATATAAGTTCGTGATTTGCACCTTGAATGAAATTGAACATCTTGTGAACACCAAGCACAGTGGCTTTCTGAAATGAAGTCTGTTCATCGATTTTGTCAGGTTTTGACCGGGTTGAAGAAGGTTTGACGAATCCAGGTGAAGTACAAAAACAGGTGCGTGTCTTCAGTATTTCACACCGGGTCTACTCATGGGTCGACCCTGAGGTTAACAACCTTGCGTATAATTTGTTTTTCCTTAAAAACATACATCATAGACGTCTAATTCGTATTAGTAATAACACGATTCATAGATATTCCCAGTGAATCATACAAAAGTCATTACTTTAAGTAAGGATAGCACCTATCGAATGAATGTGTGTAAGAAGAAAAAGAACGACACTTACAAGCCATGAATCAGCTACAAAAATTACATTCTCTACATACATGACTGATTATGAATCCCCAACTGTGTTCAATAAGGCTGCGAATATGCTTAGCAAGTAAACATTGCTATGTGAGTTCTCTCTCCCGTTTTTATGATAGATAGGGCAGCAAAAGAGTCCATTTTATCACAAAAATTTATGATGTAAAATAGAATAGTTTTTGTAAGAAGTCTAAACTTAAATATGTTTACTGTATATTGTATAAAGTAAATTACCTTTCGAAAATACATTTAGAATCAAAATCGAAACCAAGAGTGAATTGTTATCGGTGATATAATTACTAGCTAAGTCCTTGTCTAATATTTCAACTCTTTGACGAGATCGTGTCATTAATTATACCTAAACATACAAGAAAGCAAAACTTTGTGGCGGTCAGTAACCCATGGAAGCTCTTGCAAAGTCGTGTCCCTATTTTGGCTACATCTTTTTGCATGCCAATCCTTGTTTATTCCGGCCACTGACGGCGACACAATGAGGCGGCGGCGGCGGGCAAATGGTTGAGCATCTAAACAGGATGCGGCCCACCCAAGAAAACCTATCACCGTATGCTGAAAAGGCTCGCTTGCTACAAGATATCTCAGCCAAAAGCCCAATGCATTTTGGGCCGTATTAATCTGATCTGGAATGGACCATATACATGCGGTATCGTCCAAACTCCAAACAAAGAAGCTATCTCGAGCATAGATCATGAAATAAACGAAATAGACATCTGTGCGGTATTAAGGAATAGTTAGTCCTTACCTAGCAGAGCTTCTAGCCTTTAGAGACGCTATCTCCATCGTAGCCTCAAGATCCTTGACCCTGTGATAGTCGAAGATGATTCCGAAGTTGTTGTCAATCTAGTCCGTCAAGGCGTCTTAGAAGACTCGTTTGGTGGTCCGGTGTTACGAGAGTGTCATCAGATCCTTAGCTCTTTGTCTGTTTGTATAGAGTTTAGGGCGGTACCTTGGTCCACCAACAGTGCTGCCCATTGAGTGGCGCGTAAAGCACTGCTTTTGTCTCGTTTAGAGCTAGAATCTTTTGATTTTTTTGGGGTGGCTTCTTTAGAGTCTTTTTGGGGTCCTGGGTAGAATTGTAAGTTTAACTATTATCCTTCATTGATATCACTCAGGAAAAAAAAAGACATCTGTGCGGTATGAATTAGCACGATGTATATCCATGCAAAGCAAATTAAACAGAAAATGAACAGTCTGTTTAGTCAACCATACAAAAATTCAACCCAATGATGAGAAAGATTATGTTTTTTCCCCTTACAGCATAAATTCCAACAACTATACATAATTTTAGCACCATAATCTAAGAAAATTATAAAAAAAAAAAATCATAAAACAATAACATAATGTCATAAAGACAAAATTATCTCTACTTTGTGACGGATTATGGTTTATGAACGAAGGTGGAGACAACGTAAAATTTGGTTTGAGACCTGGATCTCGTGAAAAGGTTGGGAAAGTGGCCGAGTGAGTTGCTAATACGAATTTGGGAGTTCAAGTCCAGGAAGAAACAATTAAGGGGGTGTAAATCACAAAAGTTCCTAATCCGCCTAGTACTAGGATTCCTATTCCGATTCGGAAAATGGAAAAAATTGCTCCCCAAATCCAAATAAATACACCCCTCGCCCACACAATCTCCCGACAAAACAATGTCGCCGTCATTCACCGCCGTCCTCCCGGAGGAATTACGGTCCAGAATCGCCGCCATGTCCGGCCAGCGAATCCAACTAGTAATCCAAAAGAGGCTCACCGCCACCGACGTCCTCAAAGAGCGTTTCCTAATCCCGGCGTCGCAAGTCGCGTCCCCGAACTTCCTGACGGTCGAGGAACAGGCGCAGCTCAATTACAGCCGGCACAAGCCGATCGTCGCCGTGATACTGGACCCGTCGCCGAACTCCTGCGCCGTCGACCTGAAGCGGTTCAACGGCACGGGTCCCTACGCCATCACGAGCAACTGGAGCCTGGTGATGAAGCGGAACAGGGAGGCTCTCGTCGAAGGCGCTCTGGTCCAGCTCTGGTCGTTTCGATGCGCGTCGGAGCTTTATTTCGCGGTGGTTGTTGCGGACGGCGGCGGCGGGGATGAGGCGGCGGCGGCGGAGGAGAAGGAGGAGATTTTGATGAGGGCTGGGTATATGGCGTATGAATACTTGAGGAGGAATAATATTAATATGTATTAATTAATTCCAGTTGAATTGTGATGTATGATCAATTTAAGTTCCAGTTGTAATTTGCTTGTTGGTGTAGTTGGTTTTTAGATTTATGTAATGTGGAATGACGAGAAAAAAAATATATATATATTAAAGCGAATTGCATGCATACAAATATGACGAGAATGAATCGATTCTTGACATAATTATTAGCATTTCAGTCTTGTCCAATTATTTTTGTTGACGGATATTTCGATAACCATACTTGTCTCCTATTAAGTGTGGGTTGCGGCGGGTTCACTTATTTTTACATGTTATTTGGAGGAAAAAACATGCATAATTTTTTTTTAGGATAACATGAAGTTAAAATAATTCATGAATGAAAAATAATGATAATATAATGAGTAAATGATTCAACTAATTGAAAGATCAAGTTTAATTAGCTAAAAGAATCGAATAGGAGAAATATGAATAGATATTGTAAGAAATTGAGATAGAATGAGCCAAAAACAGGGACAAGATAGAGTGCATAACCCATCAATAACTAAATCTGGACCCTTCATTCAGAAAATCCAGATCTAAGGGTGGAGAATTAGATGCATTTTTATTTTCTCTTGTTTTCTTAATCGGCTCATCTCTTTTTTCGTTTTAACTCGGATTTCAATTTTTTTTTTTTTTTGCACAGATGGAACGAGTTCGTTGTGCACTACAAAATGAGATCAATTTTCAATATTTTTTTAGAATAAAATATTCGGGCCTCTCGGTACCAAGTACCAACTGCATACCATATGGTATCTTCTTCGTTTTTAATTTGTTTTTGAAAATTTTTGCACAGAAGAAACGAGTTCATCATGATCTATTGGATCTACAAATTTCTGGGTGAACAAAATACAGGACAAAAAAATACCACACAATACCACTCTGGTACGAGGTGGTATCATATGGTACACAATGTTAAAAGTCGTAAATGACAGTTAATATACTTCTACTATCATGTATTCAACCATCCTACATTCTTGGTTTGTCCATACCACCATGGTACGCTTTTCATACCATAGGTATGCTCTTATTTCAATACCAGTCAATACCATATGGTATAGACTGGTAAAAAATGGCTCAATTTTTTATGAAGCTCTGAGACTTCGATCGTGCTTTCTTCTTCTTGATCTTCTTCCTCGTTTGATGGTGCATCGTGAGTGCTTCTTGTTCCCAAAGTTCCAGCCCCGAATGAACGAGCCTAATGAGAGAACCTCTAGCCAAAATGCTAACAAAGTTAAAAATACCACTTTATCTAAACATGCATCTCAATTTTCATTCATGGCATGCATCAATGGTTCATCTATTATACCACTTTATCCCTTATACTAATGCATGTGTCGAAACTAGAAAAATGAATGGGGGGTAAAAAAAAATTACGCTTGTATAGTCATATGACTATATTTGTCACAAACGTGAAAGTTATGGCTATACAAGTATATTTTCTATAATTATGGTTATATTTGTCACAAACGTGAAAATTATGACTATACAAGTGTATTTTGGCAAAAAATTGTCCCACTGTATCCCTTCAACTTGCACTTACAGGCCATGTCTATATATATTTTGAAGATCTTCAAGTCTATCTAAAACAGGATCTAAAGAGAACGTATAAAAAACGACAACTCCACAAGGCACCACTGTGACGAACAACGCTGCGATAGTGAATCCCAATCCGTTATAATGTTCGGCCGGTGTCATGTGAAGGAGCATTATCACGTTGTAATAAGCAAAAACTTGAATCGCTATCGCCACCATCATATCGCGCACTTGATAATCGAGAACCTTCCATCTAAATTTCACAAACGCGTGAGCTTGGATATTCAAAGCTACCAATCCTAACGCGATCCACAGATCCAAATCGCGCCGGTAATGGGAACTATAGTAACCAGAGGCGAGAGAGACGAGGACGACAAAGACGAGGTCTGCAGATCTAACATAGCGCCCCCATACACAACCCGAAGCCTTTCTACCCCATAGAAGGGCGAAGTGGAGTAGGGTGAAAGGCATGAATATGAAGTTCATTGCGTTAACTCCCCAATCCGCATAAACAATCGGATGGCGGATGAGCTTCGCAAAGTCTCGAAACAATAGCAACGACATGATGGAGATTGCAATGTTTACAAACATACTAACGATTAACAATACATACCATAACGCCAGTAATACTTTATGGTGTGTCTTCACGGTTCCTTGTTCTTCCCCTGCTATTGTTATTACTTCTTCCACCTTTTCCACTTCCATGTCCGCTTCCACTGTACAAACGGATCGATTAGCGATTCATAAGAAACAGAGCGATAATTGGTGATCGCTTGGGTATCAATTCCCCTTAATTAGAAGTGTCATCCTCTTTATTTGGTAAATATTGCTTCTAAACTTCTTAATCAAACAGAGAAAACATGCACACTTATATCTCTTGTCATTGGAAGGCCTCATTAATCGGCAACGTTATTTGTGTGGATTAATTAAGCATATTGGTTAACAAAAAAAAAGTAAAAAACAAAAAACCACTAAATAAGGTATAGAGTAATCACTTGGTCCGAAGAAAATTAGGAAGGCAAAACTATATTGGGGTGGAGTGACACATTGGAATTTTTATTTTTTAAAGATTTTCTCACTTATTGATTACAAAATTTGATTCTCAAACCTCATTAAATTGTTGTGGCATTATATTTTGTTTGCATGATTGAATTTTATTACGTCAATAAGTCGTATTTTTCACTTACCCTTCTTGCGACATCATATTGAATATTATGCAAATTATTCAAGGTTCACAATGGTCAAGTAAAAACTCCTAAAGATACATTGATAGAATGAGAAAATGTATCAAATATGAGAGTGATAAACACTATAATTTGAGTGTTTATAAGCAAGGTTTTCAACCCACGAGTCGATCCATTTTGACTATATCCCGGTGAAAAAAAAACTGGTCACACATACCACCCCGAGCAAAGTTATTGGGTTGGAGGTCACACTACGTCATTTTCCCTTTGGTTTGCGAAATGTGCCTCGTTTCCAATTTTCCTCTTTGCTAACCCTATCTTTGGACTCTAAATTGAACATATGAATATTGATATTATATAAGTGTGTGTGAATTTTCACTATATGTTGGATCCAAGTAACACAAGTTATTTTGGTGTGATGTTATATGCTAGATGATATTTGATATAACTATAAGTGTAAGAACAATATAATGATTTTTTTTCATATATCCGAGCTAAATCGAGCTAAAATGGTCGAACCATTAATCATCAACCCACTTGCTCAACCAGGCCAACAGGTTAAACTTGGTTGACAACCTTGGTTATCATTAATTATAATAAATGCATGATCTTGGTAGAGGGAATGGTGTGTTGACACTTCAACATGCACTTACTCATGATGGCCATATCTAAATATATTTTGAAGATCTTCAAGTTTATCTAAGAAACGACAACTCCACAAGGCACCACCGTGATGAACAACGCTGCAAAAGTGAATCCCAATCCGTTAGAACGTTCGGCCGATGTCCTGTGAAGGAGCATTATCACGTTGTAATAAGCAAAAACATGAATCGCTATCGCGCCACCATTATATCGCGCACTTGATAATCGAGAACCTTCCATCGAAATTTCACAAACGCGTGAGCTTGAATATTAAAAGCTACCAATCCAAACGCGATCCACATATCCAAATCGCGCCGATGACGGGAACTACAGTAACTAGAGACGAGAGAGACGAGGATGACAAAGATGAGGTTTGCAGACCTACCATAGCGCCCCCATACACAACCCAAAGCCTTTCTACCCCGGAGAAGGGCAAAATAGAGTAGGATGGTTGAGGAGCTTTGCAAAGTCCCGAAACAATAGAAACAGCATGACGACAGAGATTGCAAAGTTCGCAAATGCACTAATGGTTAACAATACAAGCCATAACGCCAGTAATACTTTATGCAGCGTCTTCTCAATTTCTTGTTCTTCCCCTGCTATCGTTATTACTTCTTCCACTTCCATGTCCATTTCCACAGTACAAAGGACCGGTTTGCGTTTCATAAGAAACATAGCAATTACTCGTGATCACTTTAGGTATCAATTCCTCTTAATTAGATTTAGAAGTCATCCTCTTTATTTGATAAATATTGCTTCTAGATTTATTAATCAAACGGAGGAAAACATGCATACTTATATCTATTGTCATTGGAAGGCCTCATTCATCGGCAATGTTATTTGTGTAGATTAATTAAGCATATTGGTTAAAGTAAAAAAACAAAAAAACTAAATAAAGTATAAAGTAACCACTAGCTCTGAAAATAACTGAGGTAAGAAATTAGAAAGGCAAAAATGTATTGAGGGGGGAGTGACGCATTGGAGTTTTGAAGAGTGTCCTCACTAGTTGATCACGAAATTTGATTCTCAAACTCATCAAGTTGGTGTCGCATCATATTTTGTTTGTTCACACTATTGATTTTTATTTACGTTATTTACTCTTCATGCGATATCATATTGAATATTATACGAATTATTCCAGGTTTAGAATGGTCAAGGTTGCATATCTTCCAAGAAAATACACATTTGTTTATTGTAATTTGATGCATTGATTAAATGTATAAACATAATCAAACGTTTCATGACAATTCATGACATAATCAAACACCACTAAACATAATCAAACAATTCATGACATATAATAGTGAATAATCCTCAAAAGCATGCTTCTAAGTTCCCAGTATCACTGTGAGTCTGTGAAGCGAATGTGGACCAACCAATCCATCTTATCCCAAAACGCTGCGTTGGAGGGTCTAATTCGGCACAAGCAAGACAAAATGAATATTCCGCCAGACTCACCTCCACGTAATATATGCCCTGTACTGGTGCTATGTTCGGAAAAGAAAGGGTGTGGTTGATCGTGAATATCCCCGCCGGAATAAGGCACTTCGTCGTTGTCGCCGGTGGGCACAAAATATACACCCTCACGCGCTTGCGCCACGTGTACGGTGAGTCGTAGATTCTCAAATACAGTCGCGGGTTCTCATGGCGATGCGGCTGTTACGTATGTTAATATAACTCGAGTTGTTGATAAAAGTTAACATAACAATCTTATGCAACTTTCTTGAATAGATGGTACGTACTTGTTGTATCGATATTAGGGACTTGTAGAGTTGATATCTAATGACTTCCCTATGAAGCAAGTCTCCCACGTCTTCATTCCTGTCAACCGTGCAGGTAACTTCCTCCTTGTTGCGTAACTCCCACGAGTGCGAAACCGCTTGGACACGCGGAAACTTGGCCAAAACGACACCGAGCCAAAATCCACAAAACTTTCGCCACTGCGACGTTGTTTTCTATTAAACAACATCGTTTCAGTACCGCGGCGGTGTTGATATCTCCCATGATGTCGTTTTCGACTAAACGACACCGTCTAAACCAATCCTTAAAATATTAATTAATTAAACCGGGCATCATTGTTGACACGCCGTCAAACCCTCACTTCGCGGCAGTAATCCTTCGATAATAATGAATGCATGTAAATAAATAGTCAACAATTGGTGATTCGATTGGATAGCAGAGCATATGGGGTTACTTGACTAGAAATGAAAAGAGGTTCAGGTTTTGCTACCTGCGGATATCTTCATTTACAAAACACTACACCACACAGTTGAGACAATCGTATCTCCATTTATGTGACATGATGTTAAAGTTTATGAAGTTATAATGCATGTTGGGTTGCTTTGACTTTTCGTTATTGTATCAAAATTATGTATGCATGTTAAAATTTATGTTAAGAGACGAAAGATTTTTTCTGGGTTATTGGTTCATTTATCTTCGTTTGGTTGATGGAACAAATGATTCATTTTTCGCTCTATATGATCGGTATGGTTCGGAACGTGACCGATCAAACCACACAAACGTAATATGATCTATAACGTATAGTATTTGGTTTCATCTCTATCCCTAGTATATACTCAAACTTCTAGTTCTCGGTATTGATCATAAAAAGTATGTAGGATTGGTGTGGACTAGAGTGCATCGTTTCCCAACCCAGGATTGTGATGAATACATGACTTGGGCTGGATGTTGGGCCAATGGACCGAATTAGACCAAGGGACCATTTTGTTGCAAGACAAGAAGTTTGATGACTGATTTCTGATATTTCAAAGTTTGGTTATTATTGTCAAATTCAACCAATTTTAACAACTAGTTAGAGTTTTTTTTAGCGTCTACAAGAAGGTTGTCAACTCGTGAGCTGATTCGGACCCGATTGAGCTAGTGGGTCAAGGGTTAATGGGTCACCCGTTTTATCCTGGTTTAGCCCGATAATATGGAAAGAATCATTATATTATACTTATCCTGATAAATTATATCAAATTTCATCTAACATATGAGTTATAACATATAATATTACACTAAAATAACATGTCGTACTTAGATCCAACATATAGTGAAAATTCACACACATTTATATAACATCAATATTCAAATGTTCAACTTAAGATTCCAAAGATTGAGTTAGTCTAAAAGAAAAATCGGAAAATAGGCGCATTTCGCAAACCAAAGAAAAAAATGACACAATTTGACCTCCAACCCAATACAGTGTAGCGATCGACCCGACGGGTGCGTACAACCCGTTTTTATCATCGGATCAGGGTCTAAGTGGATCGATCCGTGGGTCGACCGGCGGGTTGACAACCTTGGTCTACGATATAGCACAAAAAACTCGACCTCGGTGGAGATTTGTCGGCGACGGCGGCTGCAAGGAGCGAAAGTACCATCATGGGGAAAAAGAAAGAGAAGAAACACAGGCAGCATGCTCCAAGAACAGCTTCTTATTACTACGAGGACAACTATGGCAATGGCGGAGAAGAGAACGACCGCCCAGAAGGCGTAATTGCTTCTTCTGCTCTTTCTGATCAAGATAAAGACGACGACTTCCCAGAAGACAATGAGCAAGACGAAGCCAACCCATCAGGAGATATTCCTTCAAAGTATCTCCTTTACCAGCAGTCCGTACAGGTAAACTGAGGATTTCAAAGTTTGAGATGTGTTGGGTTTTGGTTATTTAGAAATCAGAGAATCCCTTTCCCCCCCAATTTGTTGTTTTGCTGCGTTTTTCTTATTGCGGTTGCTTGGCGACTTAGTTTGCTAATATACCTTTTCAAGGTTGCCGAAATCCCTGCTTTTGATGGAGAAAACAAGCTCATTTGAGGAATTGAAGTGTTTTGGCTTGGTGGTTGAAGTTCTAATTGGTAAAAGAGGTTTTTTTTTTTTTTTTTTTTGTGTGTGTCCATGGATATGCAGTCACCCAAAGGAGACATAAGCTATTTGCAGAAGTTCTTTCTGATGTATGTGGGTGGGAGAGTGCCTCTCCATTTCCAGGAAGATTTCTGTGGCACTGCTCTTCTTAGGTATGAAGTATTCAGCCCAGCTGCATCCTTTCTCGCACATGTTTGTTAAGTTACTTTGTTTCTTTGTCTCTTTGTTACTGAGTATGGTGATATTCTGACACTCCAGTTACCTACCCTTAGGATTGACCCACAATTTGGCTTCCAATTACAGAATTGTGTTTGTGATGGCGCTTCGATGAGGATAACTGAGTGTAACTTTGTAGCTTATCTGTAGTTTCTTAATGTTCTTTTGTTCATTCTTTCGAACCTTTAAACCTCTCAGTAACTCAGTAGGCTAGACTTTTTAAGCCCTTCTGTCAACTACAAGTTTAGGTAATACTGCCTAAACTCTTTGTACATTGATGTTCTTTGCAGTACAGAATGGCTGAGGGGTGACTCGAGGCGGACTGCAGTCGGAGTGGATCTGGACCTGGAGGCACTCGAATGGTGCACAGAGAACAACATAAATAAAGTTGGTGCTGATGTATGTTCCAGAATATCCCTCTTCCATGGCAATGTATTGCAGCCTCTTGAGGCGAAACTGTTGAGGATTGAATCCGAAGAACTGAGCATCAGCACTATTAAGTTGGAAGAGGGTGGAACTGGAGAGGAGCCTGTTCCAACTGGCGATGTTCTCGATTCTTCTACCAAAGCAGGTTTGCAATGTTCCCCTGATGACAAGTACTTGAAGAGAAACTGTTCCCTACCAGCAAGAGACATTGTGTGTGCTTTCAACTTCAGCTGCTGTTGTCTCCACAAACGGGCAGAACTTGTTTTGTACTTCAAGAATGTTCTTGACTGCTTGTCCAGGAAAGGTGGGATCTTTGTGATGGATCTGTATGGTGGTACTTCATCCGAGCAAAAGCTGAGGCTTCAGAGAAGATTTCCTAATTTCACGGTAAATTAAAACACTGTCTTCAATCCACCTCAGCTGCATATAGTAGTCGTGATCCCTTCTGTCACTGAACTAATATTCACTTGCTGTAGCTATACATGCCAACTCACCCTCCATTGCTACAATGCGAGTGCCATTAGTTTTCTGGATTACATCTATGCCTCTAAAGCTGTGCTTTCTTTCCATTCTAACTCTGCAGTACATGTGGGAGCAAGATGAATTCGACATAGTTGCACGGAAAACAAAAATCAGCCTCCATTTCCATCTCCTGAAGCAGCAGAGGAAAATCCGCCACGCCTTTTCATACAGCTGGAGACTGTAAGTCATCATTGTCTCCCGATGCTTGTTGCCCCAGCAGTCCTCTTATTACACCATGGGCTTCGAACTTCAATTCTTACTGTATGTTTGTGTTTCCAGATGGTCATTGCCAGAAATCAAAGACTGCCTAGAGGAGGCAGGGTTCCGGTCCGTCCATTTCTGGCTCCGCAAGATGCCAGACGTGGAGGAAAGCAGGAGCACGCAAGGGTTCGGTGCAGGACGAGACATCAAGTACGAGGAGGTCCAGAAGTTTGAGCAAGAGGATTCCTGGAACGCATACATCGTCGCTGTTGCAAACTAACGAACCCCTCTGCTTGGTTCGCCCTTTTTGTTTCAGAACAAGTAACTGACATTGTTATCTTTTGTTACAACATTGCCATTTTCCAAAGATTTTATGGCATCTTAATCTGTAGAACTTTATGTTCTTGAGTCGCAATTTCCAGAACAGCTTTGGATGGTTTAGAGTCTGTATAGAATTCTCGTCAGCTTGGTGATCATCTTTGGACGCTTTAGTGTGACTAGCGCGGTCCAAAAAGCGGCCATTTCATTTGATCATAACCGCGTGGAGAATGGAACTAGCTGCAGCAGCTTGGAAGAGACCGCGACAGGCTGGGTAAAGGAATCCGTCCTCCTTTGCCTTCTCTGCTCGTTAAAATACTGGTCATTGTTTTTCTACAGCCAACGAACATTTTTCACGCGAGATAGTAATCAGAGATATTATCATAATTTAATCGGTGATTTACAAGCATCCATTCTTAATTTATTTTGTGTAAAATAAAATTGGAATCTCAAAGTCCTACATTAAATAATACATTAAATACATGAAATCGGTGTTGCCCGGGGAAGTCGCCGGAGTGAACGCGTGGATTCCCGGCGGGGTGATTCGAGTCACGATCACCGAATCGGTCGAGATCGGTCCCGAATTCGTAGAATCGCCTTGTAAACGCTGATCAATCCATCTTCCTCGCTCTTTCTGTGGAAGAACAGGGTCGAATCGTCGACCCAACTCGGCCACCCGCCGTGTTCGACGATTTTGACTCGTTGTGTCCCATCCCGAGTCAGGAAGACGTAGATATCGGTGGAGAGTTCCTCCATTTTGCCGTTCCACCCGTTCTGTCCGTAGGAAGCTACGGCGGTGAGAAATCCGGAGGGAGACACGGCAGGGCTGAAATCGGCGATTCTAATTGGGTTTAGTGACGTGGCGGGTCGGGTTTGACCATTTCCTGCCCGAAACGGAGCTGACTAGGCGCTCACGTTAGCCACGTCAGCACATAACGGACTCTTTTAACGGAGTTGGACGACAACTAACGGCGAGTGACTAAATGTGTCCAATTTTAGTAATTGTAGTGACCAAATTTGATATTAACTTTTTCTAGTGACTAAACATGTCCCGATTTTGTAATCTCAGTGACCAAATGTGTCTTTAACCCCATTTTTTATGGTTAAAACTTAGAAGACTAGTAAAAAAAATTTCGAGATTCCTTTCTCATCTCTGTTTTTCCTTTTTTATTGCAGAGAAAAGGAAAGGAAAAATAAAAAAAAATGCGAGAGATTCGTTTCGTTGCCGAATGCCGTGTTTGGTTTCTGTTTCCTACTTTCCGTTTCCTTTCCCATTTTCGGCTTCTTCTTCCTCCATTATTCAATTTATTATTTATTTTATTTATGTGGAGGTGGTTGGGTTCGCCTTTCCTGAGCTGTGGCCATTTCCATATATAAAATTTTTTTCTGGAAACCCCCAATTCCCATTCCCTCAATTTCTGGTTCTCTGAATTCCACTCCCACCTCCAAAAATCCGATTCCTTCTCCTCTCTTCTTCAACAAACCAGATCCAAGCAGGAAACTGAATCGAGATCGGAGGCCAGGAAAGGTAAAACTCGAAAACAATTTCTCGCCGTTTGGTTTTTGGATCTGCTTGGCTTCTTTTTTTTTTTTCCATATATATTTCTGATTTATGTGTTTCTGTTTCGATTGCTTTCGCCAGAGATCGATTCCACAGTAAATCGGGAGAGAGAAAGAAGGAGGGAGAAGAGAAGGATGGCGGAAGAGCACAGATGCCAGGCACAGCGTCTCTGCGCGAACAACTGCGGCTTCTTCGGGAGCTCGGCGACGCAGGATTTCTGCTCCAAGTGCTACCGAGATCTGCAGCTCAAGGAGCAAGGCAAGATGGCCTTGAACCAAACCCTAGCCACCTCCTCCTCCGCGATCCCTTCGCCGTCCGCCTCCGTTTCCCTGTCTTCTCCGGCGGTGGAGGTTGTCGGTTCGAAGATGGATGCTGCGGCGGCGGCACCGGCGGCGGCGGCCGGGGTGGGGACGCAGGCGAACAGGTGCAGCCAGTGCAGGAAGCGCGTGGGTCTCACGGGGTTCAATTGCAGGTGCGGGATGGTGTTCTGCGGCGGCCACCGGTACCCGGAGCAGCACAGCTGCGGGTTCGATTTCAAGAGCATGGGGAAAGAACAGATCGCCAAGGCCAATCCGGTCGTCAAGGGGGAGAAGCTCCACAAGATCTGACCGACGTTTCGAAACGCGTTAAAAAAATGATTTAAAAAAAAAATCCGAACGGCGTTTCTTATGGATGTGGGGGGGTTTCTTGTTGATTTGGGGGAAAATTTCGGGATGTTATTGTTGTTACCGTGGCTAGCCGGAACCCGCCGCTCAATGTCGGCTGACCGACCGGCGCCGGTGGTGGTGATCGGCGGTGATTATTAGGTGACGGGATGGTTTGAATTTCGGGGGGGTTGGGTTGGGTGGGTGGGGTCGGGCGGGGCATTATTATTTGCGGTAGTGGGTTTGTCGCTTTGCCTTTGCTTAATGTACATTCTTAATCATGATTTGCTCGTCTTTTATTGGGTTTATCATATTCTAATTGTGTTGCAACCAGAAATTCTTAAATCACCCTCAAATAATTAGCACATAAAGACAAACAAATGTTCTTTGGTGGTGGTTTGTCGTGTTAATCAACATCGTTATCAACATGATGCCTGGTTTATGTCGGATTAAATGATGAGATGAGACATCGAAGGGATGCTAAACAAAATAGAATTCAATGAGTTGCATCATTCAAATGGGTTTGTTCTCGAAGTTGTAATCGTTCGGAGGTCGAGAGGGCATAACACCCAAACTAATAATTCTTCGGTTATGCGAAAAAAAGGGTGAATTGCAAACTTGGTCACTCGTATTATTCATTTATAACACTTTAGCTACTCGAATTAAAAATCATTCAACTTAGCCACCGATACTACACGTTTATAACATATTTGATCACTCGCCGTCTAGTTCCGTTAAGTCTGTCCTACGTGGCAGTCAACAAATAGGTTTGGCCATTAAAATGCTGACGTGGCCATTAAAAATAATAAAAATATTTACTTTTTTTCCACATCATACTAAATTCTAATAAATATTATTTTCATAAAAAAAACTAATCAATATAAAATATTAATAAAGCGAGCCCACCGGCATCGCCCTCCCCTCCCGCTGCCTCCATGCCATCTGAAACCCATGAACCCAAGCATCCCGCCGCAAAATCAACCAATCCTCTTTCCACCGCAAAATCCCCACCATCGTTGCTCCAAGCATTCCGTCGCAAAACCACAATCCTCCCAATCGTCTCGCCGAATTAAACCCAACGACGACGAACAGAAGGTGCAATCGATGGGTTCCCAGCTTTAATTCACAGTTGCATTGACGAGGAGCTTCTTTGGCTCCACGAAGAGCAGCGGGGGGCTGCGTGAGGAGAATCGGTGGCTCCGGGAAGAGTAGAGGTGGCTTCGCGAGCAGGAGTCCCTGTTGAGCGAAATTCCGTCTCTAAAGCTCCAAATCCAGCTCTTAGAGAAGAGGATTTCGGTTGTCGGGGTCGACGTAGTGCCTGCGAGTGGCGATGTGCTCACTCCTTTTCTTAATCGAATCGCTGAAAACTCTCAGATCTAGAAACCAACCGTCGTGTTTTGGTGATTTTATTGGTTCTTCAGGCTCTGGAACTGGTCGGGAACGCCGCGGGGGATAATAACGCAACGGAGATTCCAATTCCCGAAGGTGGCGTGGAGGAGTTTCAGTTTGCGGGGGTGATGGGCTGAATGGTTTGGGATGGAATCGTGGGTATGTGGAAACAGAGATGGGGAATTAGGGAACTGGGGAGCCGAAAAGAATGTGGGAATAGTTAACTTCTTATCATAAATAGGGTTAATATTTTCGTATGGCCTGAACTTTGACCAAAATAAACATCCTGGCCAATCTTTTCGATCTATAACATCCTGGCCCGAACTATACACTAAAATAAACAATTTGGCCAGATCCGACTTTTGACCGTTAACTTGGACGGTCAAACGCGTTGACCGTTAGTCAACGCGCCATGTCACTACTAAGTCAGCATAAAATATTTAAAATAATTCACAATTTCCACACATTCCCTAAGTTTAAATTATTATAAATTAAAAAAAAAATCATCTAATACCCTAGTTAAACCAAAAATAAAAAATGAAAAAATTAAATATTTATCAGATCTTCTGACTTGGCAGTGATGTGGCATTGACGTGGCGCGTTGACCGTTAGTCAACGCATTTGACCGTTCAAGTTAACGGTCAAACATCGGGTTAGGCCAAATTGTTTATTTTGGTGTATAGTTCGGGCAAGGATGTTATAGATCGAAAAGATTGGCCAGGATGTTTATTTTGGTCAAAGTTCAGGCCGTACGAAAATATTAACCCTCATAAATATAATTGAAAATTGTGAGATGTATTAGGATATAAAATTTAAAATTTATCAATTAATTACTTTTAATGGCCACGTCAGCATTTTAACGGTCAAACCTATTTATTGACTGCCACGTAGGACAGACTTAACGGAACTAGACGGCAAGTGACCAAATATGACATAAACATGTAGTATTGGTGGCTAACTTGAATGGTTTTTAATTCGGGTGGCTAAAGTGTTATAAATGAGTAATATGAGTGACCAAGTTTGCAATTCACCCTGCGAAAAAATGATCGTATAAAATAAAATGTTAGCACGAGAGCAGTTAAGATTTATACATGATCTTCTTTAAGGGATCATTATGAACTTCTTTGTATTCTCAGTATAGATACATTACTAGCTTATTACCCGGCCCGTTGGCCGGATTAATGTATGTTACCCACTTGTGGAATGGGAGAGAAAGCAAGTGAGAGTGAAGGGATTGGGATTCCACTTGAATAGGACCGACCCACTAATCCGATTCTTCCCGACCCGCCCCAACCTAAAGGGTGAGAAAGAGTCAATAAGAGAATACGAACAGAGAGGATTAGTCATATATCTTGACTCTTCAGAAGTGGGTCAAACAGGATCAAGGTTGGGTGAGGGCAATTTTTAGCGCTAAGCAGAGTTCTGGGTTGAATAACTTTACTTAGGCCTAGAAATTGGTGCTGATGCAGACTGCAGTTTTTATTTTACCATCATCAATCATCATTGAGTTAGTCCTGGGCATCCCTCCCCGTTGTCGGTCTTAATTCTAATGATGGCTTCATTCCTTGCACCAGCCATATCAGCGAGTTGTCATCTCGAGCATGATTTGCCTATGTACAAATGATACAATTAGAGTATGAAACTGAATTCAAAGAAAAGGAAAAGAGAATTCTATCACATGCCAATAAATACACACATAATAGTTGAAGCTAAGTGAAAGTCATTACTCACACATCAATTCTCAAAAATTACAGACTAAACAATGGCTAGAATGGCACTGAAACTACCACGAATCATGGAAGAAACAACTTGTCGAATTAAATAATCCTTATACTGAAACTACCTTATAACTTGAAATAAGACATGATCACAGTTCATAGCACTCTTATCACCATGAATTGGTTGCAGCTCGTCCTTATCACTGCCTCCCAAGCTCAATTCAAACAGAATAGAGACCGTTATGTAAGATAAACATATCCTTACTGATCATAATTCCTTTTTTCACTCCATTTTTGTCGGAGAAAAGATTTATCCCCCTCTCCTGCATTTCCCTTTCCCCCTCTCTTCTCCCTCTTCTTCACAAACCGATCCCTAAACCAGCAACAACAACACAAAAATAGCCTTCGCCTTTGGTGGCAAGACAGGACTGCAGAAGCAAAATTTTCTAAAATCAAACTAAATTTTTTGAAGGATACTCAACCACGAAAAAAGAGTAAAGCAACAATGCTAATAGTTCAGATGGTTGGTTTTGATGTTATACGTTGCTTTTGTTATGGTCTCCAGTATATCAACTGCAACAGAGATGTTTCCTCCAATCATCTTTAGTGCACGATTTAGAAGTAAGTCCTCTTGTTTGTGTCAAACGGAAACATTCATGTGTTCTTAACTCCCCTGTTAGTGTAAATGCAGTAGCAGCAGCAAAGAAGTTTGACAACACAGCAAGCACCCAGGCAAAATGATACAATGCAGTAGGTGATATGTGTCTCGAAGGTTTTGAGTTACTAAAGTTCATGTTAAAAATTAACATGAATTAAAATGGATTATTCTATTAAGCAAACATCCCCTCTAATCATACAAAGATCATATATCCAATTCACAAACAATTAAGCCATAAAAAATCATCACACATCCACCACATTTGATTGCCTAAATTTGGTTTTTCGCAAAGTTATGGACTCTTAAGGGTAACGTTCATGGGTAGTCTGTTTCATAACTCTAGAGAGCACAGTAAGCAGCCACCAGCCAGACACAGTGCGGTAGGCGAATATGATTCTCAATTCACAATTTCTCACCACCGGAAGTAAGAACAGACCATAATAAGCGTAGCGTTCATGGGTAGTCTGTTTCATAGCACTACTACACAATTTGTTAAAAAGGAAAGAAAGGTATTTAGCATCACGGCGGAACAACTTTTACAGGCCAACAACGACAACATGCTGCAACCACCAGAACTGGTATCACAACTCATAGGGAAAATCAAAAGATTTACTCTCAAATTAAGTATTACAACATCGAGCAATCGTCAAGGTACAACTTATATGTCTTTTTTCCAAGCCATTTCCATCAACATGCTAATAAATTTGCAATGCATAAAACAAACGGGCCAAAACTTGAAATTCAGCCTGTTTGACCGACCCATGCCAAATTCTAATTATTCTTTACTTTAAACTTTCTATTTGAAAATAAAAAATAGTGAAAGAAAAGAGACGACTACAATTCGCCATTTGCACATCACTTATTCAGGAATAAAACCATAGAAATTCAAAAGGAACTGAAAATGTTTAGGATCGTTTTAATGTTTAAAATAACCAAATAGATCTTTATGTTTAGTTTTTTACTAACAAATACCAAACTATTCCCTATAAAATACACTATAATTTGATCATTATGATGTCAAATAATTATAAAATATATATTTGAAATGATAAAAATTGGACTAATTGGGTTGGTCGAGATTGAACCATTGAATAACTTTAAAATACATTATATTTTAGTCACTAAGATATAAAATAATAGCATAATATATATTATGCCAGAGAAAATAGCTTGTTTTAGAATGGCAAACCAATGATGTT